CTACTTGCCAATATGTATCTATCTTGTATTAAGCGATCGAAATAACCAAATATGAAAGAGTAGGAATAAAGAACAACATTTAAGGCGTTTCATAGCATTTTTTAATTAACAAACTCATAGTCTAATATTGAATTAGAGGAGGCCAATCGCGATGGATCTTCTTCTGTCACACGGTGCTTTGTGTAGAAATTATATCATTACATCTTTTGTTTTTTATAATTATATAAATGTTCTATTTTTGAATTCCAAAATTGCTGAGAAATATTTTCACTCTAGAAGTCTATGCTTATTTATTGTTGTTACTTTACAGATATTGGATGCGGTAATACACATCCAAGGGAAATGGTTAGCATATGTGTGTGTGAGTTCATGAAAATTTGTATAGAGCCAAAGTGGTTTGTGTTTTACTATCTCTTCCATATGACAATAGGTGCCTCTGCTTTCCCCTACCTCACGTGTATGCGTTTTTCTTCACTATAGGGATTCAGGGCATTGGATAGGCGAAGGCTCGGATTTCCAGCTCGAACAATGCTTTTCATGGACATGGTCTTTCTGGTTTCCCCGACTGTATCTCCCTCTACCGTCTCCATTGTTCGCAGCCACGGAGCGCGCGTTGTATATGCTTTCGACGACAGCGTCACTTGCGGTATTCAAGCCGCTAGCGCGATTGACGAGTCCCGCGTCGAGGGTCTTGAGGGGGGTAGCGACGGAGCACCAAGGGTGCAAAATTATTTGCTGCTAATGCGGACGCTGGATAACTTTCCGAGTGTGGACGAGATTCGCAACAGCCGTCTATTTATTGTCTACGAGTGTTGGGTTGTGGAGAGTGCGCTGCATGGCCACTGTCTGCCCTTGTATCCGTGGGATACGCAACGCGTGGCGTACCATCCTTTCAGCATGCGCGGCTTATCGTTCACAACTAGCCAGCTTCCGAGGGTTATAAAGGCGAACGTAGTCGCGGCTCTTCAGTACTGTGGAGCGCATTACACGACACATCTGGACGGTGACACACAGTTTGTGGTGCACTCAAAGTACCTGGGGTCGAGGGGCATTGCTAGGCAGCGATTACAGCCCGTTCAAGCGTCTACCACTTCTGAACTTTATGATGAGATTTGTATGAAGAATCTGCCATTGTTTCCAGCAAAAGCTTTAGTTAAGACGGAACGTTCTTCTGTGAGTCCTTTTGAGGTTTGTAATCGTGATGCTCTGCCCTACTTATCATCTAAGTCCTGCCGTAAACATGATATTGCTAAAGTCGCTTACATTCCTTGTGTGACGCCAGGTTGGGTAGAGTTGTGTGTTCGACTTGGTCGGCTCCTTCCTTTTTCATCAGTGTACTCTTGCAATTCCTTTATCTCGTCTATTCTTTGCTCTTCTTCGACATTATCACGTAAGCGCCAGCGTGAGTAGATATCATTTTTTTGTGATCTGTTTTCTTAAAGGAAGTAGGTTGTACCAAGGTATGCATTTTATGAATTATTTTCATTTTTGAAATTTATTTCCATCTTTTTTCTTTACTTGGGTTCCAATGACTAGGCATTAAAAGGTGTGTTTACATGGAGACACACGCTTATCTGCATTTTTCCGTAGATAAAAATGCGGTAACACGATGAAATATTAAAACTATTTATTTTAATCAATTTGTAGACAAATATGCGATTCACACATTTGGCGCGCCTTGCCAATATATATATATATATATATATATATATTAGTCGTATTGGTATGTCCTTTTCTTCATCTAAAAAAGGGAAATATACTGTTTGCTATATTTTTTAGAAATTTTTAGAATATTTAATTCTATTGATACATTTTTTAAATTCCATTTATCAACAGTGAAACCTAGCCATTTCATGGCACCTAATTTTTTTTGAGCGAGAATTTTCCATTTCTGGTGTGAATTTTGGTCATTTATCTCAACCGAGGCTCTCCTTAGTTCGTAAAGAAAAGCATAGCGTGACATTCAAGAACCCAAGTTGTTGTGTGTTTATTTTTTTATACGACAATAGAAATGATCAGGCCATCGGCCACCTTGTCGGCCTCTCGACAGACCATAGCCGTGCCACCCACTTATGCGTTTCCTCCTTCCGGTGCGTATGGAATTTCAAGCATCTTTAGCATTGTACAAAAGTACATGGATCGCTTGCTTCCTATCGATCACACTATGAAGGTTCTTTTGGTAGATAAGGCTACACTGAATATCATCTCCATGTCGTGTACCCAGTCTTTCCTGCTGCATCGAGGCGTGTTTCTAGTTGACCGGGTTCCCGGTCATCGGCAGAGGCATGAGATGAAGGCGATGCGTTGCATCATTTTCATACGGCCCGATTCAGAAACCGTTGATGCAGCCTGTACAGAACTGCAGGCTGCGAAGTACAGCAGCTACTCAATTGCTTTTTGCGGGGTTGCCTCATTGGAGTATTTGGATCGCCTGGCGCACGCGGATGAAGGAAGCTTGGTAACCCACGTTGATGAGTTTTTCTGCGACTTCGATGCCGTCAACCACGATGCGTTTCTCATAGAGTGCAACAGTCTGCCTATTGAACTGCTTTCATCTGGCTATGTGCCGAGACAGATCACTCGCTTGACTCATGGTCTGGCAGCACTTTCCGTGGCGCTGCGGCGACGTCCCATACTTCGGTTTCAACGTAATAGCCCTTACGCCTGTCGTGTGGCGGCGGAGCTAGGCAACATCTATTGTAATGATCTCGCATTATACGACTACCGCAGCAAAGATACGGTACTTTTAATTCTAGATCGAAGTGATGATCCAGTGACGCCGTTGCTAACACCATGGACCTATCAAGCAATGCTGCATGAGCATATTGGGCTTGAACACAACCTGCTGCGTCTCCCTGAGGAGGTGGAAAACGCGAGTGAGGAGGGCTATGCTTTCTCCGAACAAGACGACCTCTTCTTTGCGGGTAACCTCTGCCACAACTGGGGTGATCTTTGTAGCAACATCAAGGCCTGCGTTGACAGATGCAAAGAGGCACTCAATTTAGATCGTACCACCCTGACGATGGACGAACTCAGACAGTTCATGCAACGCATGCCACAAACTAAGAGTCTTGCCGAGTCTGTGACGAAGCACATGACGGTGGTTACACACCTTACCAATGTGATTAAGAGCCGAGATTTGTTGCATGTGTCGCTCTTAGAGCAAGATATAGTTGCCTCCTACTCTCCTTTAGAACATTGGAAGAGGTTAGAAGTTTTGATTGCAAGGGACGACATTCAATCTACCGACAAGCTACGTCTCTGTCTACTTTTCCATATGCGTTATGAAAAACCAGATCAGCCGTCCCGCACTGCTCTTTTTTTGGATACTATCAGCAGCACCACTCCCCAGCTTCTTCAAAAGTTACGCAGCTACTACGGGCGCGATCGACTCGTCGATCGACTCTTCGCCGACACCGGGATTGTGGACACGATCGTGAAGTCTTTCGTTGAGGCTGGCAATAATTACATCCGTCATGAACCAGTGTTAAAGCGCACCCTGCAGTACTTGCTAAGTGGGCGACTAGATTCAAATCAGTACCCTTACCTTAACAATCCAGCTCCTCCTGTATCCTCTAGCGTCGATGGTAGCACGTACAAACCAAAAGAGGTTATTGTGTTTATGTGTGGGGGTTATACGTTTGAGGAGGCAGCTCTGGTACGGGCTATTAATAGTAAAACTGCTTACAAGGCGGCTCAGATGACCAGTTTCTGCTCGGAGGGAAGGGAAATAAAAGTGATCCTTGGTGGCGACTTCACTCTGAACTCGAATCAGTTTATCGAGCATCTTTCACGAGTTTCGCAACCACGGCTCTGTAATTAAAAAATGTGAAATGGTGGTGGTAGGTATTACATTTAGATATATGCACCTAAATTTATCTGTATTGTATTCTTACATCGTTGCCTTAGCTTTGTTCGAATCCATGATTAACTATTTGTGCTGAAAGTATCTCATATTTATTACACTTTATTTTTTACGATGGAGGAAGCAGAGGTACTTGTGTTAAATAAAAATATTTTGCTTCCTGGTGAAGTAGGCTATTTTCATGTCGTCTTTTTATTTATTTATTGAACTGTTTTAAAAACGACTAAGGAGTTATTTACACTTTCTTCTTTTCCCCTCTTCTGTTTTGTGGGTCATTTGTATTTTTTTTGCTCAGATTTTTATTGAAAGCCTTTTTCTGTGCAAAGGTAAAACAAGTACTGTCCTCTCCACACGCACAGGGGGGACCTAGTACTTCGAAAGAGGAATATAGAGAAAATACATTACGCTTGCAAATAGAGTATTTTTTCTGCTTTATTTCAGGTCTGCACCATTTCCTTGTTTGTTATCTTTTTGCTGAGTCGTAAGTGTGCACGTACCTATATAGAGCGTTCATAGATGGAATCAATGAGTATGAACTTAGAAATGTTAGACACAGTTCCAATGAGACATAATTTGTCACATTCAGATAATGACTCACAGTTAGCTTCTGCTACAACACATAAATCAAGGTTTGAATATCAGCGAATTTCAAATTATACACCAAAACATTTCACAGAGGTCTCAACTGTGGTTCTTATCACAAGCCTATCCTCCTCTGTGTCCCTCATACCATTGAGATTCCCATCGAGTACTGTCTTGGATACTCGTCTCAGCGCACCATTCCTGCCCCAACGTCCAGCTTCTCGGGATGCGAAGTCTGGGAGAGCGAAGCTAAACTTTCCTATCATTCAGTCTCGTTCTCAAACCGGTGCAACGAAGACGATCAAGAACGCCCTTGATGACAACGCGTTGGCTCCTCTACGTTGCTCCGCGACCTCGCGTCTGCGCCGCCGGTGCGCGATCGATCACTTTTACAGTGTTGAAGTCTCCAGTCTTATCGCACAGCGTCCGGCGAATGGGATTCGGGTTCACTTTCAAGCCCTCCTCTGTGAAGCACGAAGCGCACTTCTGGCGATCTCCCCCGCAAAGGCCTGCTTGTTCGACATCTTCACTGAGCCTATCGTGCGGGGCACCTCATTCCGCCAAGGTCCCTTCCCCTCCAAGCGAGCGGGTTGTGCTGAAAGGCGAGATGATGCGCATTCCAGCGAGGCGGCCTCCAAACCTCTTATTCGCAACACAGGGAGGAGGGCTGGCGATTTGCTGGGGGGTTTCAACCCCTTTCCCCCGATTACAACCCTTTCTCTAGGCGAAGATCTTAATCCCGCGGATCCATCAGGGGGGCCGATCCTGGACGAATCCTTACCAGACGCACCCCTGACGGTGGAGGAGCGACTCTTGTACGTGATCCTCCGCACGAGCCTTTTCGATCACGCCGATCTCAACCACGATGGCGGAGCGGCGGCGGATGGCCTCCAACCACCACGCTCTTTCGACCCCCTCACTCAAATGAATGGGAAACAGAATCACCCTTTGGGGGATCTCTCCACGCATGGCGCGTTTCCTTCTCCCACATTTTCGCGATTCACCTCGTCTGGGGGGGATCATTGGAATCTCGAGGCCATCACGGGGGTCGCCCAGCTCCGTTGTTTTGTGGGAGGGGATCGGGATCACGCCTTGGATTCTCCGGGGGGGGGGGTTCGCTCCCTCAACCCGCCGCCGCGTTTCCCCTGAGGGGAAGGAACGCGCCGGGTGAGGATTGGAACGCCTCCGGGGAAAATCTCGCGGTGAAACGGGTGCGAATCGATGAACGCGCGGCGGATTCAACCAGGGGGCCCTCAAGGCCGGTGTCTCTCCATCCTTCACCGGATTTTTCCTCTCTTAAGAGGGAAGGGAGGGAAGGAAAAAAGGAAGGAGAAGGGGAAGCGCGCCGTCGACGACGACGGGAAGGGTTGTTACCGCGGGAACCTCGGTGTTGGTTGGTTCCCGGCGCGATCCGCCGCGTGGAGGGCTCCGCGACGCTTCAGCGGGTGCTGTGTTGGTCTTCGGAGCTCGATCCCGTGGTAGAGGCGATGATGTGGCGCGCGGGCACGGTGCTTGGGGGGTTTCCTCCGGATCTTTGCGATCCCACCGCATGGCTGCGGCGGATGGCAGCGGGAAAGGGGGCGGACGATTTCGCACCCGACGAGGCCGCGGATTTTGATGCCTGGTTTGAGGCGAGTTCGCGCCCGCTTCGGGCTCCTTTCGCGCACGCGGAGGCGGCCGGGCGGCATTTTGTCGACCCCGACGGAGCATGTGAAGCGGGTTCGGACGGGATCGAAGTGCTCTTTGAGCGACGTTCCCGCGGGCGGCGAACGGAGTCGCGGGCGATTGGCCCGACGCGATCCAACGCCGATGGGAATTCGGAACCGCGCACTCACACGGAGGCCCGTGCCCCTTCCACGGCGGGGAATCGGAATCCCTCTCCCGCCGCTTCCCCTCTTACCGCTTCGGATTCGATGCGTTTCACGGAGGAGGCGAGGCCGTTGTCAATCTTCCGCCCTGCCTACGGCGAGGAAGCGGCGGTGGTACTTTCCACGATTTTCACGACCCTCCATTATGCGGTGGTGGGGCTTCAGGATCCTTTTTTGCTTTTGGTGATTCACGGGGCCTCGGACCGCCCAGGTTTCGCGAACGATCATCCTCCTGATGATGATGATGATGATCACCCTTCGGATCGGGTGGTGGAGGGGGCTGAGCGGGAAACGGAATCGGCGGAACCCCAACCGCGCCAAGGGTCTTCCTCAAACCCCCGGCGCCATCGACGTTCCGCGGATTCCACCGCGCCCCCTCTTCGCATCCCGATGGCGAGGCAAACCGGATCCCCTCGCGCGATTCCCATCCCCATCTCCATCACCTTAAGTGAGGTCTGTTTCAACCTCCCTCGTTCGCGGGAAACTCGCACGGCGACGGCGTCCGGGTTTCCTTCCGAAGGGGTTCCCCCCCCCCAACGTTGCCCTTCCGGGTTGGTTGCCTTGCTCCGGTGGGGTTGTGCGCAGGGAACGCGTTTTCTTCGATTGGAGCGGCTGTGCGAGGAAGGGGCGCGGCCGGGGAGGCGCGCGGGCCTCGGCCGCTACGGCGCCTCCGCGCTCGACGCCCTCCGGAGCTGTTTGTCGTTGATTCGTCGTCAGGTTGGGGAGTTGCTGGCGGGATCGGGGAACCCCCCACGGGGGGTCCGGTTTCCCGACCTCCTCGACGCCCATCGCCGGCTTCGTCGGGTCAGTGAGGGGGTGGAGGGGTTGGCAGGGGTGTTTGGGGTCGACGCCGGCGCGGGTTGGGAGGTCGCGCGCGCGCTCGAACGGATCGCCTCCGCGACCTTTTTATCCACCCTCTACGCGGAGTTCCTCGCGCGGGATGCCGCCCACCCCACGGGCGGGGCGTGGGCCGCCTCCGCAAGGGTGGATCGCGGGCGCACCGGCGACCTCGACGCGCTCGCGGCGCCCGTGGACGGGGTCGCGTTCGTCCTCGTCGCGACGCTGCGTCCGATGCATCGGATGCTCCACCGATGGCTCACCGCGGGCGTCGTGGA